GGTCCCCAATCCGCCCATTGCGGCACACCCCTCATGCGGATCGTGCCTCACAGGGAGCACCACCCACACCTCCATAGACAAGCTTCACAGCGCATGCCCCCGCCCATTTCGGCACGCACCTCGCGCTAAGTGTGCCCCAGAAGGAGCTTCACCTTTGGCGCCTGCGAACGCTTGCTCCGCAGCAGCCCGATATCCGCACTGTCCCGCGGCGCGCAGTTTATAAAGAGAGGGCCGTATCCTGCGCTACATGTGATTGCAGAAGGGTGCGCCCTTCGCCGAGCTAATTGTTTGCTTATCGAAGACGCCTATAGCGAATCACCGCCGCCCACTGCCCCTTTGGAAGCGCCTCTGTGGCCGACAGCTGGGCCAGAGCTTGGCCAAGCTATCGGGCCAGTTGTTCCCCGAGTCGGTTTGGAAAGACTTCGGGAGGAGGAGGGGGAGGATGAGGAAAAAAGAGGAGGAGGAGGACGAGGAGGAGGAGGACGAGGAGGAGGAGGAGGCCTCTTGGGCGCCTCTTGGGGCACTCTTGGGGCCTCCTGGGAGCTTCCTGGGGGCCTCTTGGAGGATTTTGTGGGGCCTTTGGGGGCTTCTTGGGGGCCTCTTTGGCCGTCTTAGGGCGTTCCTGGCTTGTCTGACGCCGTCGGAAGCCGTCTTGGGGGCCTGTCTGGGTCGTCTTGGGGCCCTCTTGGGGCATGTCAGGAGTTCTTAGAAGCCATCTTGGGCGTCTTGGAGGCCATCTTGGGCCGTTTGGGGGCCCTCTTGGGGCTGTTTTGGGGGGCCTTTTGGGCCGTCATGGGGCCACCTTGGAGGCCTCTTGGGCGATCTTAGGGGCCTCTTGCGCCGTCATGCGCCGTCGGAATTCTGAGAAGAAGCAAACGCCACCATCTGTCAAAAACCTTAGGACAATCCATGATGTTGGCCTCTTCGTACTCTCCTGGAAGAACCTCCTGGACGCCTTTTGGGCCGTCTTGGAGGCCTCTTGCGCCGTCTTGGGCCACTAAGCTGCCATCTTAGACCGTCTTGGGTGCATCTTAGGCCGTCTTGGAGGCATCCTGGGGCCATCTTAGCCGTCTTGGGGGCCATCTTGGCCGTCTTGGAAGCGTCATAGACCCTCTTGGGGCCGTCTTGGGGGCCTCTTGGGCCGTCATGTGGCCATCTTGGAAGCCTCGTGGGCGATCTTGGGGGCCTCTTGGGCCGTCTTGAGCCGTCGGAAGGCTGGAAAAGCGAAAATGCCAAAATCCTTCAAAAACCTTAGGACATTCAATGATTTGGGCCTCGTCGGGCCTTCCTGGAGGACCTCTTGGAGGCCTCTTGGGCAGTCTTGGAGGCCTCTTGGGGGCCTCTCGGGCCTTCTTAGGCCATCTGGAGGCCATCTCAAGCAATATTGGGTGCATCTTGGGCCGTGTTGGAGGCATCTTGGGGCCATCGTAGCCGTCTTGGAGGCATCTTGGGTGTCTTGGAGGCCTCTTGGGCCGTCTTGGGGCCCTCTTGAGGGCATCTTGGGGGCCTCTTGGGCCGTCATGGGGCCATCTTGGAAACCTCTTGGGCGATCTTGGGGCGATCCTGGGGGCCTCTTGAGCCGTCGGAAACCCGAAAAGGCGAAAATACCCAAATCCTTCAAAAACATGTCAAGGCATGATTTTGACCTCTTCGGGCCTTCCTGGAGGACCTCTTGGAGGCCTCGTGGGCTGTCTTGGAGACCTCTTAGGGGGCTCTTGGGCCATCTTGGGCCATCTTGAGGCTATCTTAGGCCGTCTTTGGTGCATCTTGGGCCGTCTGGGAGACATTTGGGGCCATCTTAGCCGTCTTGGAGGCCATCTTGGCCGTCTTGGAAGCATTTTGGAGGCCATTTTGGGCCATCTTGGGCGACACATTTTGGAATTGTGCTCCTTGAGGTCCTTTCTGGGTGGCCGGCGGGACGGGCCGAAGCCCCAGGGGGAGTTTTTTTGGAAGAACCAAAACCAAAACCGAAGGGTCCAGCACGCCAGGCACCCATGCGATGAATCGACAGGGGGCCGGCGGATCGACTGGCCTTCGGCTCACACCCCCACCGTGCCTGGGTTGTGGGTCAGAGGTTTCTTGGATACCTATTGGGGTCTCATGGCGTGCCTCCCTGGCGCCTCTTGGACCCAGTTTTGAAGCCTCTTAGGGCCTCTTGGGGGCTGTTTGGGGTCCTCTTGGGGCCTCTTGCGGGCCTCTTGGGGGCCTGCTGGCGGTCTGGGGGGTCCATTTGGGGCGGAAGGCTCAAAATGTGAGTTGGAGCTCCCCCACTGGGGCTTCTCTTGGGGCAATCTTGGGACGTCAGGGGCGCCTCTTGGACGTAGTTATCCTAACGACGTCTAGCGCTCAACAACTGCAAATACAGTTGGAAACACAGTTGCCGTGAACACCGACGCCCTTGAATCTGCCGAGCGCAATCCAACATATGCCATGCGGTGATACCGTTCAAGGCCATGATGCAATCGGGATCATCGGCGATACGCCTCCTAGACTAACCAATGGCCGCGATTGAACCACGCTGAATGGTAATCGCCCTGACGCAGAGCGTGCCAATCATCTTCATTAAAACGATAGTCGCTGCATCAACCGTGAACAAAGCCTTAGCTGGCTGCGCGCATCAGCACGCTGGTTACGAAACTGTGTTAAGGATGCTAGTCCTGCGCCAGACAGAACAGCCCCGGCGACCACTTCCAACGGGTCAACGCTGGCAATAATGACATGTTGTAATTCACCGCGGGTCCACATGTGCACCATTGCAACTGTTGGGGCTAAACCTCGTGCAACACATGTAATGACTTCTGTGCCCAAATGCCTTGGTGGTCTGGACCAACGTGATCGCAGAGATACGTCACTGCTTAGACCTTGGAATGGACGATCCACAATATCTCAGACTATGCAATACGCAACATGCCTAACCCGTGATCGTTCAGTTGAGGCGATCCCCAGCGAAACATGAGAGCAACAGGCCAACTGCAATCGCTCTTGTAACTCTAGGGGGTGCGGCTGGGAATGACCAGGCAACCTGACACATCCACTTGTCACCGATAGGTGAAGAAGATGCTTAGCGCCGCCTGTAGAAGAAACGCACGTAATCGACGTGAAGAGGGAGTTGTACTGTAAGGTCGAAAAGACCCGCGGCCATTCATCGGGCCCCGTCAACTCGGTGTGCGTGAAGAAACGGCTGCACGGCTGCACTCAGAGACGTTAGGGAGGGGCGGAGGGGAGGGGACGTGGAGGGGACGGGGACGCAGAGGGGGACGGGGCGTGGAGGGAAATGGGGAGGGGAAGAGAGAGGTGGGGGACGGGACGGGGCGCCCCAACAGATGCAGGAAGGGGCTCCGAGCGCCGAGAAGCGCAGGCGGCCGGCCGCTGGGGCGCACTGGAGATGCAGGTCCCCTGGCACACGCCCGGCCGGCGGGGGATGGGGGGTGGCGGACGACGGCCAGAGAGGGCAAGGCAAGGCAGAACCGTCGTATCGAGAGACGGCAAGCAAGCGGCCAGGGCAAGGGATGGCAAGGGGAGCACGGGCACGGAGGGAGACGGCGGGGGAAGTGGGCGGACGGCTTTGAGGTCGGGATCTCGCTGGGGGCTACCCTGGTCTCCCCTCGCGCTTGCTGCCAAAGAAGGAGGACTCGCGGCATGAAACCGCCAGCCCCCTTTGGACGGAGGACGCAGGGGGCCTCTAGGAGCCTCCAAGGGGAACCGCAGCAGGTCCGCCCAGGGACTGCAGCAGCAGGGGCGTCCCAGGTGTCTCAAGCAGATTCCCAAAAAGTTCCAGTGGCTTACACATGCTTATGGGCCCCCCCCCGTCCGTGGGGCCTCATCACAGGGAGTGGACCCACAGGGTAACGCGCAAGAGATAGGGGCGCCCGTCTGCGCAATAAGAGGTTCACCGACGGCGACAGCGGCGCTGCACCGCACGCGTGCTCGCTTGCTCGCTCTGCTCATGTTTTGCCCCTCCTCGGTACATATATGACCCCTGGCCCCGCCCCGCCGTGCACGCATGCCAACAGCGACTTCGCTCTGGCCTCTCCGCGTCCGTGTGGCGAGCCGTCGCTCTGCGAGGCCAGCGCCAAGTGCATACGCCACCTTGTGGTCCTCAACCACCGTTGCCCTGCGCTGTGCGCAGCGCCTGTGTCTGGACCGTCGAGCAAGCACCTGGTTTTGATCCCGAGGTCCACAACAGAGTCTGACATGCCGTCCTGCTCCATGGCATGGCCGCCTCGCATGTGGCGGAGCCTGTGTGGTGGAATCCCGCAAAACTGGATGCAACATGAATTGCTCAATGGGGTGTGAAGGGGGAACTGAGTATTGCGACAAGCGACAGGCTGAACAAGATTGCCAGAGGGTTCTGCACCCTCTTCTGCCTGGCCCCATATCTCTGCACTACTTCAGTTGACTGCAGAGGGCCAAGATCACGAGAATAACAATTGCAACAGATGAACGAAAAGTGCACGTAGACGGGGGGCGCAACTATCAATGGCCAATGAGTTATTCGCATGTTTCTGTCCACTGGGAAAAACCGACAACTACGGCGAAGCATTACAGTCACGTGCTGACGCCAGCTTGGCTTCTGATAGTATCCAGAACAGGAATCGCGAGCAACTGTTGGACGTTCATGTTAGTGCGCTGTCACCACGTGGTGTAGGCAAGCAGGAAGTGGACATTCCTAACAGACCGCGCTGAGGGTGACTACGAATCTGCACGGACGGCTTACCGACCGACTGCACATCTGCAAGACAACACCGAGTTTCACCTGAGCGTCCATAGCTGGTGATGGATGCCACACAGCATGGGATCGGCAGTGATGTAATGGCTCCTAATTCTCCCTGGTCGATGCGGTGTGGCCAACGACGGAAACGATCTTGTGATCGGGCAGACTTATGTGGGTTACCTGCGCGTGCCCTCGTGAAAACCAGGACTGGACGATGAGCGGAATCAAGGTCTTGTGGCACAATCTATCGCACCAAGGTTCCAGCACGCATCTTTTCTCTTCGGTGTTACACTTTAGCACAGATAGACACGTAACAAAGTCAGCGGGACAACTTTTGCGAACACGCAGATGGTGGGCCGATTCGTCGCACGGACCTCTGCGCACGACTTGTCCACATGCACCCACGAGAGAAACATCTACGTATCTAGTCTGCGCTTAGACGTGGATCTCTCCCAAGCGCCATGTCTTGTTGAGTCGAGGTGCGACGACGAGTCTCCCTTGCCCAGCAACAGAAGAAAATGCAACACATGGCACAATCAGTACAAGCGCATCAATCAAATGTGTTGTCCACGCGCGCGCCAAAATGCAGACCGTGCAACACACCATCACGAGGGGGAAGAATGGAGGAGCTTATCCATCGGATCCCCCCGGTGCAGCCTTGCTGTTTTCCAGACGGTGTATACGCCCACGGAAACGAACGCCCATGGAGACGCAAACGGTGCAATTTAGAATCTCCCACCGACCTCTCTGGATGTCGGTGTGGGCGCCTGTCCTTCCCAAGACGTCGAAAGAAGCCCAGCTGGCAGGGAGAACTCTCCTCACTCCACGACGCCCGCCTCAAGCGACAAAGCGTGTGAGAGCCCCCCCCCCACCCCTTGAGAGGAACCCGGGCGCCGTATCCGCACCGGAGCGCACAAGCGCCGCTCCAGCGCGCGGTCCCGGACGTACCGCCCCCGCGGCTCTTCAGAATGCCTCCCCTTCCAGCGGGACTCGGCGGGGAGAACCCGAGGGGGCCAGCGGGGGAGAATCCGACAGGGAGGATCCAGGGGGATTCCACGGAGGGAGGCGCTCCTCCCAGATCCCTCTCTGGCCCTGCCTTTTCCGGGGGGTGCTGCTGTGGCTCACGCAACAATGATACAATGACAGCGGTCATCGCACTCTACCCTCGCTGTCCAGGCATTGTTGCCTTTTTTTCTTGCTGAATGTTCGTAGCATTATAGTCTGTCTTCCTCCTTCTACTGATTACTATACTACCATCGCCGTGGGTGCCAGAGCTGCCAAACACAACTTGCGGCACCACCACCACCACCACCACCATGATGACCGTTACCGTCTCTGCCGCCACCCACACCACCACCACTGCCCCTGCTTGGGCAGAAGGCCCCCCAAAGGCAAGCGAGAGCGACGCAGCGGGCAATGCGGCTGGCCAGACATGGCCTTGAACCGACCCTGTTCGCTCAGGCGTGCGAAGGGGGAGGGGTGGCGGGAGCTGAGACGTTGCGATTTGCCAGTGCGTGGAGCCAAAACACAATCTCCTGCTCTAGCTAACCGCTCCAGGAGGAGGGCAAGATGAAGAGGAATTATCGGATGTGGGGATGACCAGGAAATTGAGGAGGTATACGTAGTGGAAAGTGTTCTTCCCTGCCCTACAAGCCCAGTATTTCTAGGCCCCCCCCTCTGTGCGAGGTGATGGGCCAGGCTCGTTTTGCAGGTGGCCAGCACTTTGATTATCCAGCCCTGACTCGAGCATGAGGGAACTCTCGCCCCCCCTTTCCTGCTTCTCCTCTTTTTCCTCGTCCTTGGTTATACGGCACGAGCTCCAGCCAACTCCCGATTGCTACCAACTCCCCGCATACCAAAACCAAGACATGGCAAACCATCTCCGAGCGCCTCGAAAGCTGAATACCATGACACGGAGACTGGCTGGATGATACGTCTACAAGTGTCACTTCGCCTGACGCGTTCACAATCGTGTTCTGGCGGCGTGTACACTACGCCCACCAAAGTTCGTGGCAGACTGCCTCCTACGTGAACTGTTCCGAACTTGCACAGCAATCTCCCAAAACTGAAGACTGGCTTCACCAGAACCCTGACGAAGAATCCACGGCATTGGCGCGGTTTGGGGAAATTGTGCTGCGAAAAGTGACGGATGAGATCACGAAGCAAAATCTCCAGACGTGCGTATTGACACACGGGCGGTGATGGGGCATTCTAAAAAAAACAACTTCGTGATTCCGATATCGCTGCCCTTCGCAGCGAATTCAATAGCGTCGAAAGGCCAAATCTGGGAACGGCGCACGTCCAGAACTGTGTCACCACCCTGTTCAGGCAGATGCCTGTGACCCAGTCCATTCTCCGTTTCCCAAAGCGCCGACGGCCGATTGCAAATAATATGAGGAAGGGCTTGGGACGGGCAGCCCGGGGGAGAAGGGAGAGCCAGGGGAACGGGGGAGGGAGAATGGCTAATTCGCTTGGACGGATCCCGCACGGCTAAACGTATGTAGCGTGTTCTTAGGCGTGGCTGCTCTGCCAGACGGCTCGGCTGCGTGGTGGCGCAACGGGCGACCCTGACATTCCCACTGATTCTATTGGAAATCCGCCTCCAACGAATTTATGGTGCATTGAACTTCCACAACTTACGGTGTCCAATTTTCACAAAACATATGATTTGTGTGGCCCTGGTAAGCCTTTATGCTGGGCTCTGTTGTGTGAATGTTGTGCTTCTGCGCAACATGAACTTTTGGCTGCTCGATTCCAGGGCAACCATGGGAAATCCGTGTTAACCCTAAACGGATGGATCCACTACGTTTGGACAACGTCGGCCCAACTCGACCGGCTGTAAAAAACATGTACTTGGCGACAGAACTGGGGGGCCCCGCCGGCCCGTGGAAGAGTGCCGTGCCGAATGGGGGAGCTCTGCGTAAGCAAGGAACATCAAACTTCGCATGCTATTTGCAAGGCCGCTCGGGGAGCCACCCGTTCACGGCCGGTGATCAGGTGAGCAGAGGGATCCCCGAAGCGTCATGCGCGTAGTGCGTAGTGCTTTTCCTGTCCACCATTACCATGATGCTCTTCCTCCTGCGCCTCCATCTTCCTCAAGCGTTGCGTCCTACGTTTAGGATCCGCCTTCCTCTTCCCGCTCCTCCTTCACCTCTCGATTGCTATTCTGGCTATTGCCCGCTCTTGGCCCAATCGGCGAATTACGTTTGTTTCCCTGGGAATTGGCACGCCCACTCCCCGATGAATTCTCGCGACGACGTTCGGGCTGCCCCGCAAGCCGGCCTTCGGGAAGCAGTGCCGCGCGTGTGCAAAGTGGCGCGCGAATAAGCAGAGTGAGGGGGCCGTACGGTCCATGCACTGTCCCTGGGCGCGTGGCTGAAGTGAGGTTCTGCGGTGCGGATTGATTGCTTATTACTGAACAATAATTATTGTTGGAGCCCCCCCAGGCGCCCTGGCGCTCTCGCCTCGGCGCCGGCTACATTTTCATTGAAAATGAGGCTCGCGCTCGAGCGGTTTTGGGGGGCGCCAAAACCGGCCCCCCAACAACAACAGCGCTCCCGCTCGAGACTTTCATTTTTTACCCAGAGCCGGTGCTCTTGCTCGCCGCCGAAAACCGCCGCCGCTACAAAACCAACGCTCCCGCTCGAACTTCTTCCCGTTTCACCTTGGACTGGCGCGCTACTCTTTCTCTCATCGGCGCCGCCCCCAGCAAGAACAACGCTCCCGAACGAGGCTTCCTCCCTTTTTGCTCAGAGCCGGCGCTTTTGCTCGACGCCGAAAACCGCCGCCCCAACAAAACCAGCACTCCCGCCCGAGACTTCCTCCCGTTTCGCGCTGGACTGGCGCCCAACTCTCTTTTGAATTGGCGCCGCCCCCAACAAGAACAACGCTCCCGCTCGAGGCTCCCTCCCTTTTTCCTGAAGACGGCGCTGTTCCTCGCCGCCGACAACCGCCGGCCCAACGGAACCAGCGCTCCCGGTCGAGACTTCGTGTTGTTTCACGCTGGACTAGCGCCCTACTCTCTTCTGCATTGGCGCCGCTCCCAGCAACAGCAGCACCCCTGCTCGAGACTTCCTCCCTTTCTATTCAGGGCCAGGTCCTTGCCTCGCCGCCGACAGCCCCCATCCCCACTAAGCAAATCCTATCGCTCGATACTTCCTTGTGCTTTACCCTTGACTGGGGTTCCACTGGCGGTCTCGCATCGGCGCAGCAGGGCGCGGGCATGTGTTTCCGATGCGGGATATGTTGAAATTCCTCGGAGGAGGTGTTTGCAAGACCTTATTGGGCGGGATATCTGGGAATGGGAATAACGGACCCCCGGAATAGAACAATAATCCCCCATGATGGGGATGGTTATGATGGAGATGGTTATCATGATGGTCGCGTGCTGCGCGTGGAAGCATCGCGCATAAGGATATACTGATTGTTGTTGTTGTTGTTGTTGTTGTTGTTGGTGGTGGTATTGGTGTTCCTGCTGTTGTTGTTGTTGTTGTTGTTGTTGAACTCTCATCACTACTGAAGAATTCGCCGGCCCAACGGGCCAGAGGCGTGCTAAGATCTCCGGTAACTACTTAACAATATTTCTAGTTCGCGCGCGCGGGGCGGCCCCTGGGGGCCCCGGACGAAAAGTACCCCGGCCGATCCCCGGCTGATCCCCGGGCGATCCCCAGGGGGAGGCTATTTTTCGCCACCCCTCACGAGGATCGTGGCCTCCGAGGGGGGGGGCTGCCAACGACTAATTACCCGCACTCCCGCCCCAAGGGGCCCCCAAGAGCCCCCCAAGAGGCCCCAGGGGAGCCCAATACGCCGCCAAGGAGCCCCAAAACGCTCCCAAGAAGCCCCCAAGAAGCCCCCAAGACGGCCCCAAGAGGCCTCAAATAGCGCTCCAGGGCCGGAGGAATGAGCGAAGCGATTAAACAATTATTGTTGACCCCCCCCCTCCGGTGACCATTGTGTTCTTTCGATTGATATGCTCCCCCCGGGGCTTGCACCTGGTCGGGGCTCGCACCCGGTTTTTTATGATCAACGAAAATCACTCGGCTCAAACTGCGCCCATGGCCCCCGTATTACAACAACAACAACAACAACAACAATCATTTTACCCGAACGCTCAGTGTTCTCACCAGTGCCAGGGTTTTCATGCGACGCGAGACAATACCCCCACTTCGTGGGGGGGCAGTTCAAGCTCTACCAAATATCCAAACGACTCTTCGCGACCACCCAAACCCAGCTTCCCGCCCTATGACGTTGGGACACTTCACTTCGTGGCGTGCGGACGACCGTGGCTACTACACTGGCGTGGGGTACACACCCACAGAACTTGGTCACTTATTCGGGGCGCGCGTGTGCCCAGCATCCTGCAATTGTGACATACAATACATGACACAGACAGACAGAGAGAGAGACAGAGAGCAGACAGAGAGAGAGACAGAGAGAGCGGAGTTGGTCACATTTTTGGGGCAAGTTCCTGAGATCGTCGTGTTTTTTGTTGGTCTTGCGCGCGCGAATGTCCACTTTACTTTTTTTTGCAAGGGAGTATTGAAATTTGATTATGTTAGAACAAGAAAAAGTAGCTCGCGCGAGCTCATGTAACATAAATGTTGAAAAACCATTGGTTTTGTGGGAGTCGGACAGCGCGCGCGGGATGAAATTTGGACATTTTTTTTTGAAAAACCATTGGGTTTTTGATGTTTTTATGTTGAAATCTACGAAACCTAAGGTTCTGGAAGGATTTCGTCTTGCGCGCGCGAATGTCCACTTACCTTTTTTTTGCAAGGGATTATTGAAATTTGATTATGTTAGAACAAGAAAAAGTAGCTCGCGCGAGCTCATGTAACATAAATGTTGAAAAACCATTGGTTTTGTGGGATTCGGACAGCGCGCGCGGAAGGACATTTTGACAATTTTTTCTTAAAAAACCATTGGGTTTTTGATGTTTTTATGTTCAAATCGTTACGAAACCTAAGGTTTTGGAAGGATTTCGTCTTGCGCGCACGAATGTCCACTTTACCTTATTTTTTGCAAGGGATTCTTGCAATTTGATCAAGTAAGAACAAGAATTTTCATTTTCTATTGTTTTTTGCAAGGGAAAACGAGCGTCAACAAAAAACCGGATCCGGAGCTCATCCACTTTTCTGAAGCTTTCGCGAAAAAATGATGAAAATGTAGCTGCGGCCTAGGCGCGGCGCAGAGGTCGCGCACCAGGGGTCCCAACAATAATAATTCTTTAGAAGGAATAATGTTCAACAACAACAACAACAACAACAGCTCCCGCCTGAGACTTCCTCGCAGTTTAGCCAGGACCCCTGCTTCCGCCTGAGACTTCCTCGCATTTTACTCGCTAATCGTGCTCTCGCTAGAGACTTCCTGACAGTTTATTCAAGAATCGCTCTCTCGGCGCTCCAGAGTCGCGCTCTCGCTGGAAAATCGCTCACAATTTACTCAAGAATCGCGCTCTTGCGTTGGAATTCCCTGCAATTTACTCAAGCGCCGCGCCCCCGACACTCAGGCACCCAGGAGTCGCGCTCACGCTTAGGACTCCCTCGTAGCTTATTTCGGAATTGGGATCTCAATGCCCTTCGTGGCCCCGTTGCAGCCCTTCGTGCCATACTTCCTCACAGTGTATTGAAGAATCGCGCTCTCGCGCGGAACTTCCTTACTATTTATGTAGGAATCTCGCTCTCGCGTGGGACTTCCTCACAATATATTTCGAATATGTGCTCTCGGCACTCAGGGGTCGCGCTCTCGCTTTGGCCTTTCTCATGATTTACTTGTAAACCGCGCCATCGCTCGAGAATTCCTCGCGATTGATGCAGGACCCACGCTTCAGCAACCTGTCTGCTCGACCTGGTCGCCTGGGTCCGCCTTCCCGACCCGCCCGCTATGTGTCTGCCAACCCGATCTGCCCGTCTGGTTCTATCACTTGTTTCTGCTCGTTGCCCCCGTCCTGCTACTTTCTCTCGTGCTCCATCCTTCTCCCTCCCCCTTCCACCCGTCATCGATTCCCGTGTTTTAGGGGTTGCACTACATGCACGTGGCAGGTAAGATATACGCCCTAGGGGGTACCATCGAAGACGAAGAGGGCGGGTACCGAGGGTTTTGGATATGCGTATTGCAAGTCACGTGCGCAGATAGAAGCGAACAATACCAAAATTGTTAATGTTGCTGTTGCTGTTGCTACTGCTGTTGTTGTTGGTATTGTTGTTGTTGGTGGTGGTGGTGCAGTGATGTGGTGGTGTTGTTGTTGTTTGTTGTCGCCGTCCCCCCGACGATCCGGCCCGCGACCAACCCGCGACCCACCCCGCGACCCATCCACGACCCACCCGCGACCCACCCCGCGACCCGCCCTGGACCCACCCCGCGACCCGCCCGCGACCGACCCGCGACCCACCCCGTGACCCGCCCGCGACCCACCCTCGACCCACCCGCGACCCACCCGCGACCCACCCGCGACCCACTCGCGACCCACCCCGCGACCCGCCCGCGACCCACCTGCGACCCACCCGTGACCCACCCGCGACCCACCCTGCGACGCACCTACATTGCTTAACGAAAAAGTCGGCGCCTGCGGCGGGCTCACTGTGTAATTTGTAAAAGTCAGGCGCCTGCCGCGGGCATCTTCAGAGCCTCGCAGACTGCCGACGTCCTTGCCGCCCCCTCACTTTTATCCGCAACTGCGGGGTGCTACGTATGTGTTATGCTGATGATTGATATTCTTTTTGAGTATCGGTGTGCATCCTGGGGCCACTGTCAAAGCAAATGCGTACCGCCCGGTGTGACCTCACAGTCGACGTCTGGCGCGCCCACTGCAAAGCCCACGCTCCCCACCGTGCCCATCCTTCCGGGTGTGGTAATGGTGGAGCTTGGGAGCTGCCGCTCTCTGAATTCAAAGGCTGACTTCGAACAGCTGTTTCAGCTTGACCTCGTAGCGCCTCCACACGAACGAAACCACGATGGATGTCACGAGGGCCATAATACTGCTGTGCAGCTTATATGACACCTCGAACCCGAACATGGATATTGGCTGCTCCTGCTTTTCGATCATACTGATCAAAAATTCGAGACCGTCCTGGATCACCCTGATATGGTTATCCACTTGCACGCGAACATCGGTCAGGAAGATTGGAGGCTGCGGGCTGCGCCAGCTGTTCAGCTCGTCCCTGGATAACTCTACGTTGTGAGACCGCAGGGCCACCTTCATGACGCGTGTCTTCCAATATCGGAGCGTGAGCACCATCCTGTCGCGCATGGTCTGATTCATTCCGGCGGCGGCGTTTACCAGGAGCGCCAGGAAGACACCCTGTACAAAGAAGTGCCAAACGCCACGAAGCGTTGAATCTGAAACTGCAGAGTCTTCAAGCCAAAGTGTGGCAGTGAGCTGCAAGAATTCGATCGATATGACACCACCAAGCACTATAATCGTATGCTGCATCCTTACTCGTTCCATGGTCACGTCTATTAGCATCCACGTTCTCACGTTCAGAAATGCCGAAGTGTCAAGCGATGAGAACTCTAACTTCTGCATATTTTTCCTCAACGTGTCAATGCCCTCTCGGGTCCTCTGCAGCTTGTGATTGGGGTGGCTCTCCTCCCAGGATTTCCAATCTGGGTCGAGCTGCAAATGCTTCCGCCGAAACAAAACAAAACACATCTTGAGCAAATTGTCCCTTGGAGGAGTTCTTCCTCTGCCCCTCCTCCGCAACAGCGTGGGATCGGCGTTACGCAGCCAGACTGCCTTTCCCCCATCCTCCCAGACTTGGGACTCGGTAAATTTGCTTTCCCACTCGGACCGGTCGTCTACAACGTCGGTCAATTTCCTCATCCCGATGGGCTTTAACCACCTTCTGTAGGTGATGTAAGTCCGAGCGCGCGCAGAACTCGGCGTGCATATAAAGAGCATCACAATCATGCGAAGATGGGCGTTGTTCAACAAATGGTACCGGGAATATCAGCCAACCCCTCTAGGGCCATCAAGCGTGTGACACCCGCCCCCCCCAAATCCCCTTACACCGAGCCCGAAATTGTAAATGTGAAGGAGGGCCCAGCCCCGCAATGTGTGCTCTGCGGTGTCTCTGCCCCCCCCCCCCCCCTTTCTGGCGCCCTCCGGGGTGGACAGAACCCGTCTAGCAACACGACTTTGAATGAAAACGACCCGGGACCAGACTTGGCGGGCGCAATCCCGCAACATTGCTGCCGCAACGCCCTCTCGAGAGCCGAAAAGGGGCAATTCGTGGATCGACTTGGCAGGACGGGGTATCTGTTAACATTCGAGCACATGCTTCCTGTGAAAGCTGCCTGAATAGACGCCCCCGAGGCTAACATGACGGCCCGAGACGATCCCCCGACTACAAAGAATCCCACAGAAAGTGTAACAACGGGCTCCAACACGACCTCAAGAGGCCACAATAAACTCTAGAATTGATCAACGCAGGTCCAGTAGCACATCATACGTACAGTGCTTGCATTACTAACTGTTCAGATACAGGTGTCCTTAACAGCGCCTCCTGACACTCGAGAGGTGCATCGGCCTACCTCACGATGATGCAACGCACCAGTCTGACAAGATGCGAACGAAGGAAGCTCCACGAAGTCAGCGCTCGATCGAAGCGAAGTGCGCGACTGCCACTGAACATTCGACTACGCACGACCGCTGTTGCGAAAATCGCACTCCCAGGGTCGAGCTGGGCACCTGTGATGACGCCACCGACAGAACGTGCAATCCATGAGCATTTACTACCAGCACGGCACCGAAACTGAACAAATCAAATGGAAAAGAGCCGCGCCCGAGCTACTACGACAGGAGGTTGGGCGACACAACGCAGACATCCAGAACCACGCTTGCCGGCGGGCATTACATCTACTGGCGTGCAAACTTACGACGACAGGGCCTTGGAGTGCTGGCGCACCAGGACAAGATCACTACCACCACGGCCACCTGGGGGCCCCTCCAAGCCTACCGTTCGCACCCAAACCCTGGGAGCCACACGAGGAGACGACGGTTTCTAGAGAGAATTTGAAGGGGGCTGGAAGGCTCAACCAGCAGTTTCGCCTAGGACGAAGCCCGTAATCAGCTCTGCTGTACCGTAGTAGCGGCAATCCCAAATGTAGGAGATCGTCGCGGGAGCGACGGGCCATGTCAAGCGAATATGTTTCGGTCTAGATGGCAGATAGTGTGCCTCGCGATGAAGCGCCATCATATGTTGGCGGCCGGCCGCTTGGGAACAAACGGCCGCCGACAAACTCTCGTTATCTGTCGCCTCTGCCCCAGCCTTTTTTAGAGTCGGGGGGGGAGACGAAGCGTGAGTCTGCCGCCCGCTGTGCAGCAAACGCTATATACACAAGGTCGGCAGCAGCAGGCGGGTTCAAAAGGAAGGTTGGCCCGCGCGCAAGTGCCCGTGTAAGCAAGCTGCCTCGCAGGCAAATTACCTTGCAGGCGATTGCTCCTCAGGCGGCCTCATGCGATTTTGTCTGGCCAGCCCTGTACGGAGCATTGCGTTTTAAGTCGTGTGTGAAGGATTGCGTTCCTCCCATGACCTGTAAAAGCATATCTCTGTCGATGCTCCCTCTGGAGTGGCCGTCCGCAATCATGTCGCGGGTGTTACGCCACTGTGCACTATGCACGACACCTCGCTCCATCATCTGTCGTATACAACTGATGTGTCACAAAAGAACGCATTCAGTCGTTTTGTTGTTCCAGGTCTTTGATCGAAAAGGACTTGAAGATAGATCCCGCACCTATGGTCAGAGTGACCTTAATGCTCAGGCCGCCCATCTCCAGTATATTCTCTTGCACAGGGTGTCTAGAGCTC